CACACACACACACACACACACGACGGAAAATGAACGGTTGCCTTCAAAGCCGTGGAGGGAGCTTTGAAGGAGGTGATTAAAACCTAGGAGGGCTCCATACAGCAGTGGCAGATGACACACTTACTGTATATTAGGTATCCATCATAGCCAATAACCATGCGGCACACAGATGCGATGTTGTCACGTGATGATGAGAGGGCCACTCGGACTGGGTCAATGGGGAAAACCTTGTTATCTAGAGAGGTTGTCAATTTTAATCTCCCACTCGCTTGCATGTAAAACAAATGACATCGAGGCTAAATAAGCCAGTGTCCTACACTCATATACTGCACCATCAAAGTCAAGTGCTTCATATACGACGAGCTGTATTTCACAAAACAAATCACCTGAGTGTAAGTTGTTTAAAACACTGAGGGTTTTTTTTTTTTTCCCCCCCACCAAGGACATAGTTTCTAAAGACACTAAAGCCAAAGCACCGTTTAATAATTAGAATCTTATCACTTCTATCTTAATCAAATTTAATTATTCAGTTAATCGCTTTCAACTCAGAGTATTCACACAAAACCAGCATTTGGTTTTTGTTTCGTGGGGCTTCTGAGAAAGACCTGGACAACGAGTCCGGTGGACGGAGGGCCAGCTTAAGAGCACTGATATCTGTGACTAGGGAGGGAACGCTGGCGTCCGTAATCATTTGATGAGTCAATGCATCGACCCAGTCCCGAGTGTGGGGAGAGGAGCACAAACGGCATACTGATGGTGATTGGTACAGAAGCAAACCACTGATTGCAGCCTCACGGCGGCTGATGCTGACATTTTCATCCAATTAGCACAGCTTACCGTCATCAAAGAAAACGAAACTTTGAGACTTGTCTGCATGGGGAGAAGGGAGGAGAGAGAAAAACCAAGAGGAGAGACCAGAGAGTCAGTTCAGTCACTTTTTCAGATAAACAGAAGAGCACTTTCTCAGACTTCACACAAACATACGCAAAGAAAAGGACACTCAGATACACACTGTTCCCCACACACACACACATAAAGACACACTCTCTGGTTGACAGGCACACACATAAATATCTCTGCTGAACAGAAGCTTCATTTCCTGCCTTCCTTTACCTCATGCATATTAAATATCATTTTCCAGAGAAAATCCCTCAATGTCTCGTCTTTGTCGGGTGCAGAGAGATCTTATCTTGATTACCGTCTACAGGCTATTACCAGAGATTGGATTTTATCACCGATAGCACTCATGTGTTCAGCTCGTGCAGAGAAACCCAGAGATGTCAATGAAGAGATCACGAGGAGGAAAAATGACACGTATGGCGTCTGTTTTTCATGTGGTAAAGAACTTCAATTAATGGTTCCCGTTTAGTATTCTGATCATTCTCGCAGAATTTTCACAGCGAAGAGTCGGGCCGCCGGCCTGGAGGAGATATATTATTATAATTGAGAGACAGAGTCGGCTGATTCAAAAATACACAGCACCTTTTCCTGTTGAACGGAGCTTATTATTTCCCAGAATATTTACAGAACCTGGGAGGAAAGGAAACACGTAGCTGCACACATGTTCTTTAAGAAAAAAGGAAAAATGCACATTAGTGTTGGTGACAGTTTGTAGGAGAACTCAAAACTCATACAGTAGAAATGTTTGTGTACTTTCAGCAGGATTACACAAAAAATACTGTAATTATTTTGTTCAGATTTGGTGAAAGGGTGAGGAATGGAACAAGGAAGAACACAGGATTTTTTATTTACTTTCTTTAACATTGCAAGATTTTATATTGAGAGGACTGATGTGTGTGAGTGTGTGCTTGTTAGTGCAGCTCAATTGATTTTAAGGGGTGTATTGGGTGTAGGTCTACTATGATGTTGTGGACACACACACACACACCTGGGTTTAGAGAAAATCTCACCTTTGCTATTTTAAAATGATAAAAATTTGACTGTTTTTCAGTTTGATTTGAAAAAAAAAAAAAAAAAAACAATACAGGAGAATCATGCAAATGCAGCAAAGTGAAGAGCCGTCGAGATCGATCAAAGGTGACAGCAATTGAGGAAGAAATTACGGTACAATCACAAATAGGGCGCACAATCAGCACCGAGCACTGGAGCTGCTAACAGCGTCACAGAGGAAGAGAGGAAAATACAATTAAACAGTACATCATTACTCAAAATATTGACAGTGAGTCATTGGTGTGGCAGCCGCTCGTCACTTTAAAAGCAGCGTCATCATCTTCAGCATCCTGTAATTATTTGTATCTTCGAATAATCGTCCTAGAGGTTAACACAAAGCGATATTTTTACAGGTTTAGTGTGTGTTATAGTGAGCGGAGTGATATCATTATCAATGCATTGCATCATCAGCAAATGCTGTTCATTATTCCTCGGCACAGTGTGTGTGTTGTGCTCCATCACAGAATCCCAAGACACGAGTGAGTAAAAAAATAAATTAAAAAAAAACACAGCACAAGTTGGCCTCCAAAAAAAAATCAACTCAATACAAGTTGGCGCAAGACTAATTATCTCTGTGGGCTTTCATCTTTTTCATTTCTGTAATTCTCTGTTATTTCTGTGCCTATTATAATCTCGCCCTGTTCTCTTTATCTCGCAGCTGTACAGTATTACACTCCAAATGAGCTGGTCCGCTTGCCAGCCGTATCACCCCGCTGTGGCAGAGTGAACGGAGATATGGGAGAAATTAATACCTGAAGAGATATGTCCCGATGATAACATACTTACGTGCAATGCGAATGTATTCCCCCCGGGAAGAGCCTCTGTTCCTCCCCTAGAGACGTTTTCTTTATTCCCCCCTGGCACTGACATGAGTGTTTCAAGTGTGAAGGTTCAAGATTTTTAATTCAGGTACCCTGTCAGCAGCGAGGGGATTCTCACTCTGGGCTCACACCAAAACAAAACGTCTTTAAAAAAAAAAAAAAGAAGAGGGATCCACATTTTAAGACCTGCATATTAAAAGGTCCTGATCAAAGCTGTGGATTTCCTGTGATGTTTTGTGAATGTCTAAAATGAAGTGTTCAAATTAATCAACATATTTTTTCGCTCAGTCTAGCAGCGCTGCTCATTTGCATGTTTCAAACTGTAAATCTCAGCGATAATTTGTTGCATAATTTTACAATTGTTACATCATTCATCCTCCGTACAATTAACTATCACCCAATTCACATTTACCGTTATCCTGCTCCTTCTGCTGCAACTAATTAATTTCCCAGGAGTGAGAACTAGACTTTCAGATGATTCAAAACTCCTCTTGTTGTTGCACAATATATACAAGAAAAATATTAAAAAACAAGTTATGATCCCTCGATGGTCTAAAGACGCAGTTAATATTTAAGGCATTTTAGAACAACATAATCAAAGCAACACAGTATTTTAAGTCTAAGTGTTCCTCTTACTTACATCTTCACAAACTATGACCATCAATCTATAGTTGTGGATCCTTTTTTTCTTATAGCTATTACTGATACAGAAATATTTCCCTGCATTTCTCTGGAGTGCTTTGTGCGATTGCAAAATTCAGTGAAAGCTCTGAAAGCTCATTGATTTTCAAAACAGCCCAGAACTGCGCAGGAAGCCTTTTTGTTAAGACGGCAGCCACAAAGACACAGACAAAAAAAAAAAAAAAAACAACCTCTCCCTTTTGCCTCTTCGTGGGGTATTCTGGAAGAGAAACAGTCAAGGAGCTTCGGCCGCCGCGGCTCGAGAGTCTTGGAGAGCCATTTGAAAAGCTAAGTGAGCGATCGATGACAGAAGTCAATTATCACCTCACCGATCTGTCAGAGGCGGCTGTGCAAGGCGAGCTCGCACACCGCCCACCTCTGACTAACCATCAACAACCCTGGACACCGCCGGCCAGACAGGACGACACCGGGACACAAATGTATAATATGCATCTCTTACGCTACGTTTCCTCACATGCTCTAAGAAAACCCCGTTTCCATGTTTCATATTCCTGCATCTGCACGGCATCCTCAGACCAGCAGCAAACGTTTCATAGCCACAAAAATGTTAGTTGTGTTGTTATTTACAGGTTGTGCATTAGGATGTGTGTGTTTGTGCCATATGTTTGTCGTCTGCACATCATTTTCATCCACTTAAGAAAGCGTCGGGGGCAAATGAAGGACCTCTTAGAATTTTCTTATTCATAAAAGCCGCTCGATTCTCACGTCTAGCTGAGAAAGGCAGAGGCTGTTTTTCAGATAGGTGCTGACATGTGCAGACGTCAAATGTTTTGAGGTCGGGTGTCAGGTGTTAAGGGGATTGGTCTGATTGCGGGCAGGCACAGATGCTACATGTTCTGTGCTGTATTTTTCACACATGTCTCTCACGCTGGTTGAGAAAAGCACATCGACGGGCTGTCTGCTTACCGTTGACCTCCTGAGCGCCTGCATCTGTGAAAAGCATGCTCATCACCTCCTCGAAGTTGCAGCTGGGCTCGGACGTGTGGCTGTCCTGACCCACGTGGTGCAACATTCGCTTCAGAACGTCGTCCAGGGAGGCAGCTGTCTCGTCCAGCAGGATGCTGGCCCTCGCCAAAAAGCCGTCCAGGTCCCGGTGGGCCCGAATCTCCTCCTCGAAGTTCATCAGCTTCACATACTGCGAAGAAGATTGAATCCTTTTAAAGGCTGAACGAGATCTACTTCAGTCATCAGTGCCGATCAGAGGAATCTTTAAGACTGAAACACGTCATCAAAATGCTTCTACCTTAGGTTCTGTGGAGATCCTAATAATCCTAATTTAAATGTTTGTCGGTAAATCTAAGGTTTCCAAAGTGTAGTATTTGTAATTATATTGTCATAATTATCATATTAAGAGTCTTTAAAGACACATTACTGCTTCTTTGTCGCTGACAACCTATGAAGAAATTTCAATATCCAACCAGATGTTGTAATCAGACTTGTTGCACAAATTACGAGATCAGAGTTCTGGAACCAGGCTGCTTGAATCTCCAACGCACGCAAAACATTTCAGGCTGAGTGCAACTTAATCTCACAGAGAGGAAACAAACTTTTATGTCGACCCCTCACAGATTGTATTAAAGCTTTAACCTTTAACTATCCTTCCTCACCTCCTCTAAATCAACTCATTAAAGGGTTAAAGATGGAAAACTTGCTTTATCCCTTCAGAGTTAATCAAATTCGGACCACTGGTGCCTGAGAATCACCAGAAACACAGACTAATAGAATGGACAGAGACATGAATCCAGCTCGATCAGGAGCCCCAGACTCCCACCAGCCCTCGATTTAATTGATTGTGTGACTGACAGAAATTCTAAAGACGAGTGGATTGCCTGCTGTTCTTTTCAAAATAAAACACCAGGGAGAAGGTCTGGAGTCTTTGGAGCTATTTGTGTATAGAGGGTCTACAAATAAATTTGATTTTGTTTTGTTTGTATGAAGCTGTCAATCCTTCAGTCTGAGAGTCTGTTTTACCTCAAGTCGAATATTTAAAGGTTTTATTATAAACTGAGCTCATTTAGCTTCGTTCATATCCAGTCGATTGTGAGAAGTGTGGTCGTGTGAAGGCCGGAGTTCTGGGACGATGTTCAGTTCTAAGAAGATTTCGTTGGTTCCAAAAAGGGAAAATGCAAAGTACGCAGCTGCTGCAGCAGAAACATACTCATTTCCAAATTAAATCTAAATATAGAGCACTGCAAAGAAAACAGATCCACGACAAAACTCTTGGCGGAGAAGCATGTGAAACTGATAAAAACTAATTTAAAAAAACAGAAGGAGAGAGCAAACAAACAGAACTGAGATACAGAACAGGGAGATTAGCGAGAGGAACCGGGCAAGCTGTTGACAGGAACACGGCACACGCTGCACAACTGAAATCTCTGACAGGCTTATACAGAGGAAGTCAAACCCTTGACAGCCTCGGTCACCAGTTTTAAATCATCGCCCTCTGGGTGCTGCTGCAAACTCCTTGAACTGTAGAGGTTGAGAGAAATCCATTTGTCCGTAGAGCAGGAAGTGGCTCGTTTGTGCAGAATATTCAGGGTTTATAAGGAGTAACCCTGCAAAACGGTTGATGACAGTAATATTATTACCTCTGTCAGAGGGATTATGGTTTCATCAATTACTCAACTCGCTGATTTGAAGGATGTCTTCAGAGTCTGATAGCTAGTACAGTCTACTCCTCCGTTCTTATGATGGCATTCTATGACTCACGGAGAAGTCGCTTCTTCAATCTGGACCAAAAGCTCCTGAGGGACTCACAAAATTTGCCGACAGTGAAATAAAACATTTAGATTTTTAGATAAGAATTCAATCCACTGCACTCCATATGCTGTTTAACATTTTTTCAGGGCCTGAAAATAAAAGTTGTCCCTCCTCTCTGCCTGAACATGAAACAATTAGCTGCTCTTCATGTTTTGTTTTTTTTTTGGTGTGGAAATCGGGTCTCTCCACGCCAGGACCCTCTGGCTGTGATGTGGTGTGTTCATTCATAAAGTAGATTAAGATGGAAAAAGAATGACGCAGCGCTGCAGACGTGGTAAGCACATCGTACCTCAGGGTGGCCATCAAAATCTACAGGACCATCAAACAGGCAGATGGTTTATAGAGACACGTGGCTCCAGAGCCCGAGAGCAACTCTTTATATCCTAAAATGCTAAAATTGGCATCAGCGGACAATAATGATGTGACTGGGATTTCCAAATTTTTCCAGGCACATTTTAAAATTGTCAGATTTACAACGCACCGTCATATAGAGATTTCTCGCTCCAACCTGCTGCAGTGGGGATGAGCCAGTACCACTGCTAACACACTAAAACCAAAAATATGAGCCAGCTGCCAGCAGAGCGGCATGAAAACATAAACACTGCAGACAGCAGCTTCACGGAGGATATATACAATGACAGCAGAGCCATTCAGCTGTCAGGCATATCTTACAGAAATTGGATTGATTTTACAAACATCAGTGCACTGTATTGAATGACTCTCAATATTAAATGAGTCAGGAGTAAAAAAAAAAAAAATTCTTGATTAGGAAAAACCCTCGTTGTGATGAAGCTTTGCCTGAAATATCTCCTCTGGTCTTTCAATCGCTGCTTGCGCCTGAAAACTAGAACGAACACACTCGGCCAATCAGCGCAGTTTCAGTCTACGTACATGCCCCGCCCCCCTCCAATTAATACAAGGTCACTCTCTGGCGGGAGAATAGTAGAGAAAAATGTTCATGTCTCATAAACTATTATAGCAATATAAATCACCTCATGGAGTGTGAAGAAATATTTTGTTGTACAGAGTTTAGAGATATGAAGCATGTGATGACATCAGATAAAGCAAAAATACCAATGTCGGCACTAGCTGACTATTTCTCCTGCATCGAGTTCAAAGGGGTTATCATGGCAGAACGCAGGATAAGCGCAGGGGTCTCAACGCTTTCTTCTCTGATCTGAAAGTAAGCTTCTTGTTCAGTTTTTGGAAGTTGAGTCTGATGCTGATCAGTGCCGACGCTCCATTTGGACACCAGTGGAGTTGTTTCCTCTCACTGCTTCGAACACAGTCGAGGTTTTACACAACATTTGTTTGTTTTTTCCCCACATTTCCACATTTGGTGCATTGCAGTTGTTTTAACGGGCTGCTTCTGCCAGACTTCAGGTGTACGATGTAAATCACGGCACTGGTTCAGAAATCCTTTAAAGAGCAATTGGGATCTGGATTCATCTTAAGAGAGTTTCTGTGCTCGTTATCAGGTCCCTTAAACTCTTGATAATTATGAATTAAATTAAATGGATTGTGAATATTGACACTTACCTTTCTTGAGGTGTTCAGTAACACACAACCAGAGTCATCAGTGTCTGAGGAAAAACACAACAAGAGGCACAATTAGACTTTCAGAGTGTTTGTACTGTAATGTCACAGTAATTGTCTATATTGCTGTTGCAAAACTCCAGTTTTTTATTTTCAAAACAAACTGTGGGGGGTTAGATTCGACCCCATATTCTATTGTGCATTGATGGTGAATCTTGTTTTTGAGACAACTCTATTTCTTGAACTGTTTGTGGTTCTGTAACAAGGAGAAAAAAAACCAAGACCTACACATAAAACTTGAATTTAAGAGTTAAAACTATTTGTGTAATTACGATCCACAACATGATACCTGATTATTAGTCTGGGAACCATTCATAAAAATGACTTTAACATAAACAATTTTACAGTTGTGAATTTAAAACCTTTGTAATACAGAGTCAACAGTGGAGAGGTGACAGGAAACGAGGGAGCGACAGATGGAAAAAGACACAACCCAGTGATGTTGCGTATCGACAGTGCCCCTGGGCCACCGGTTCTCCACGTTACTTCAGTCTTAAAACAATACACCATCGTTTATTCTGTAAAATTAAATTATTACGAGGCAAAATGCTTAATGCTTTATTCTAATCTGTGCTAGCATTGTAATTATAATGTTCTGCATTTGCATTTAAAAGCATTTTCTCAGCGACAGAACATTCGTCACCGCTGGTGAGAATTCTGACACAAGGATCACAAGTAACAACCGCTCAGCCTGTAAAGAAAAAGAAGCCGGAGACCCTTTTTCTAATAGTGATGAAAATGTCAAGAGGCAAGTCTCTAAATGCTCTCGTTGAACAGGGATTGGAAGTTCTCCGCTGATAAGGCGTTAATACACACGTCTGTGGAGCTGAGGCGAACGCCGAAGATAAAGTACAAAGGTGTGGATTTTCCATGAAAAGAAGGCGAATAAGGGAAAAGCCTTTTATGTTAGGAAACAATATGGGGACAAACCTCGGGAATAAGGCTTTCAACACACTTCAGTCCCATATACCAGGCTGTCAGTACCCTGCTGACTCTCATGAAACAATCCGCCACCACCATTACATAACGCCGTTATCGCAGTTTACTGTGGGGAGGACGTTATTAGGTTACCAAGGGCTTTCCTCCTCTGATCCGCGTGATGCACTGTGTCGGCTCCGTCTGGAAATCAATCGGTGCTTAACTCCACCCTCCAGCTACAGAAAAAGCAAGAAAACCCCCACTTTAACAATACAGCGAGCCCGAGGAAAGCGCCGGGATATCGTAATATCAATAATCCAGCCACAAGTGAACATGTGTGAGTCTGCATTAAAAAGGGGGGGGGAGAGAGGGGGCTTTGATCGCTACACCAAACACCTTGCCATCATAAAACCCTGCAGGCGGTGGAGAGAGGAGGAGAGTCCCAACCCCTGCCTCGCTGTGATGAAGACTATGGCAGGGGGCACGTGTCGTGTGCACTGGATTTGGATCATCAAAGCCGCACAATCAAAAAGCACACGGCTGGGCTGATCCGCTCCCACAGGGGAGAGGGAGCTGCGGCTCTAATAGCTGCCAGGCTGCAGCCGTAAGGAGATATTCATATATTCATATAAGATTACCTTGTCCCCAACGATCACCTCTTTCTAATGGCCTCTGTATGTCTCCATACACGCTGATTTAAAATAATCCAGGGGGAATTTCAGGCTTTTGGATTAGGCAGAGGAGGTGTCAGAGTGTGACGCGGGCTTGTTTCCACTCTTGGTTCCTTATCTGATCGATGTGCTACTTTAACTGTTGATTATATTCAGCCAGACACAAGTGCTATATAATGCCAGAGTGGAGTGTTGTATTATTTTACTCATTAGGAGTTCCAGGGTGGCGACTGTGGACGGCTGAATTACTATGTGATGGGAGAGATCCTGCACGCGAACAGGCTCGAGTGCCCTTGGACCGGAGGCTGCACAGCGTGTTTGCATTTCAAATACGTGTTTGAAATCAAAAATAATTGGTTAGGTGGTGTGGAAAGAAGAAAAGAACCATGAACCTGTGGCATAAAAAATACCACAGGTTGGTGCTTTTTCATCTTCAGAATAGCCGACCAGATTTTAGCCTTCTCCCAAACCCTGTCTTTGGTGTGACATCTGTATTTGTCTCATCTAATTCAGTGTAAAATTAACATATTGACTGAAACCTATCAGTGAGGTTTAAAAGCCCCTATGGCAAACCTATGGGGTCCGAACCGTAAACAGCACAGAATTATTTAAACTGACTGCAACATTTTTCCCAAAATGGAAAAATACTTTAAAATGCCCTGATGAAAAAAACCTTGACCTCGGCAAAAATGAGTGCAGGCAAAAATGTGAAAATTTCAAAAGTTGAATAAACCCAAGAAAGTTTTTTGTATGAAAGTACTTTTTTTTTTTGCTATCATACCAATGAAATGAAGAAGAATTGAACCGCTTACCCGAACACCGTCTGCCTGATGGGTTAGGAAACAAAGAAATATGCCCTGACGTGTCTGTTTCTTTGACTTTTTAATCCTTGAAAAGTGAAATCTCACCACGGTTAATGAAAAACATTGGTCAGTGCTTTCTTTGCTGTGTGACTTTATAAAGCAAGCCCTAAACTCAGGGTTGTCAAGGTCAAGTCATGACCTTGGCCTAAATCCTCAAGTTTCCCTGTGTGACAGACGGCTGTCCTTCCTCTTGACTCCTCCACTTCAGCATTCAGCCAAATTGATTCAACCAGAGTGAGAGTGGGTCCAGTGCTGATGGAAATATAATCATGAAATCAATTCTATTTATGGGGAGCATTTGACAGCTTCCTGACAAAGTTCTCTGAAGAGAGAAAAATGGATGAGATCGTGTCAAAATGATACAGAAACAGACGACGACGACAAACAATCCTCGAATTACCAGCTCACAACTTTTTCACTCAACTCTTCAATTTCTCATCGTCACTGACTTCTACACCAGGATGCTGTGATTCCTGCAGGAACTGAACCCACAGCATCCGTGCACACTGTGTGTCAGTTTATTAGGAACACCTGGCTAAAACCTTAGACTCTCAGACACATCTTTACTTCCTACCACTTCCTAGGCCCTTTATAAACGGGGAAAATCCTCAGGGGAACATCATGGTCAAAATAATGTTTTATTCAGAATGAGGTCGATAGTCTGAATACGGCTGTCCATGTCAGTGTATGAGAACATGACAGAAACCTTTATTCAATGTGTTTTGTTTGGTCCATGTCCCATCCGCTAAATGGATGAGACAGGGTTTATGACCGATACTGCAGCCAGCCACCAGGGGGTGATTGAGACACTTCACTTTAAATATATTATCTGCCTTTAAATATAATACATTGCTTGAACTAATGCAGTCTAATGAAACAGTCCTGCGAGACTTCACAGCTTCATGAAGGTTGTATGTTCAGATTCTGTTGAAACATAAAGAGAAATCTTTGTTGTTGCTGTTGACTCAACAGGAACATGATGAAACAGAGTATGTTTTTTTTTTTAATCTGTAAAAACAGGAGAAAGAATGATTCGGTGTTTTAAATCTTTAAATCTCATCTTCCTCTGGGCGATGAGGACGTTCTGGTTGAAATAAAAAATAAAAGCTGGAGCCGGAAGTCGTATTTGGGACATGGAATCAATAATGCTGTTTAAATAACTCAGGCACTGGAAGCCATTAAAAGACATATCGTTAGTATGGTGCAGCTAAATATCCAACAGGCACAACATCATAAAGGTCAACAGCCAATTCTATTTCAGAAACCAGAATTATTAAAGCATCCACAGCCAGGACTGTATTTTCTCATGGAAGAGGTCACTGTTAAATAAAGGAGGAGGAAATTAATTAATTATAACTGACAGATGTTATTGAAATTACATTACGATAGAAGCTGCTGTCTCTGAGTCTCATGTAATCACGAAGGTCTTTGCTTTTCCAAACCGCTGCTGATTTAGGCCGACAGGATGTGATTAAAAGTCCTGTTCAGAGTCTTACATTGATTTGAAATGGCGGACGTATTCCACAGCAGCCTGCTGATGTGGAATAACAAAACAACATGATAATTTGTGACGTGAATTAAAAGCAGACACAGGCGGAGAGCTAATGATGCTGGCGTCAAATGTACGTGAAAACCAAGGTTTACAGGGGGAAGACTGGAATAAAAACAACATTCAGCTGAGCTGTTGATGAATAAAGATCAGAAAATCTAGACGCTGCTGGGCACGACAAACATTCTGCACCTGCGGGTGGAACTTTGTCTGATGACAGCAGAGACAATTCAACATATTATATCTGTGTGGAGGGACTGAAATATGTGACAAATACTCAGATGCCATTAGATATATATAAATATATAAACATTTTACCACATTCTCAATAGTATGCTATTGCTTTTAATATCGTTTGATGTATTAGGATTATGTAAAATTATAAATTCCCAGTTGTCATCCATACCACCCACCCCTGATTCTAAAGTCATGAGGTTTGTGATTCCACCTATCACATTGATTGGATATTCTTAAAACACACATTTTTAATAATACAAAACTATCTTTAGTGGCTACTACATGATGAAAATAACAGAATTATGTTTAATTGTTATTAACAGATTTCCCTGAAGTTTGTGAGATGATAGATTAAACTGTTAAACTGATTCAAACAGGTTTCATTTCAAAACTTAAAGGGAATTTTAATGTTTATTGTGTCTACTGATGTTAGACCTTGACTTAAGAATAAAGATACTGATAGAACCACTTAAATTAAAATAACAGGCCTATTGTAAAAAGGTGCCATTCAAATCATTTGATGTTATTATCTATATGATGAATAATTTAAATAAGGTCCTTAAGAGATCATTCTCTTATCGCATCACGCTCTGACAGTTCTGATGTGACACCTTTCACTGGAAGAGGAGTTTCTGCGTTTGTTTTCTTCCTCTGACTTGTTCCTGCTCTTGTCAGACGCCTTAAGTGTTACTATGTATGGAGAATCAGCCCGAGTGACATGCTCACCTGTCACATTCAAACTGAATCTCTCTCTCTCTCTCTCTCTTTGCTTCTCTCCCCATGGTGCACCTGTGACTGTTGCCATGGCAATGGTAACCTGTTGACCCGCGGGTTTCTGGTGATGGGGTCAAAATCATCTGCAGCTGCAGCCGACAAGCTGTCTGTCAATTCAACACCTGCCATCGGGCTCCGGTCTGGACTCCAGAGTGCCGCAGACCTCCACTGAAATTAGTTTGAAGTTGTGTGAGGATTTTTTGTTCCCCTTTCGTTTTCCTCGTGACCGAAGCCGTGGAAATCTGGCATGACTGCATACACACACATGCTCCCTTTGAAGAAGCCTCGTGTTATGATATTTCCAAAAAGAAGCACTTTGCAGAAAAGTGCAAGGAACAAAATAAGTGAATTGGGGATATATCGATCACAGAGCAGAGGTGAACAGAGGAACAGGCATATTCAGAAAGATATCTCCACAAACTGATTGTGACACGTATTCCCATTTGTAATGAGGTAAAGTTAAAGGTTGCAGAAGGACGTTTATATTCTGCATGTATCAACAATTTTAATTAATCAGCTGAAGGAGGAAGAATGAACCTGGTTATCTCTGTGTGGAGAAACTGGATTTTCAGGTGAAGTAAGAAAACCTCATTCAAAATCCACATAACAAAAACTGCAGCCTTGGAAAGAAGCATTTCCTAACACCTGAGTGGGAGAGCAGATACATTTTGTTGTTTAACTAATATCTCTTTATATACTGCATCTTCAAGGAACAATATTTCCCATGAGCCTCAGACATTTAACGGTGAATCGAGGGGTCATGGTGAGCTAAAGCTGCTTTCAGACAAGCACTTTTTTTCCTGAAATTATCCAGTGGGGCTGCATGTGAGAGCGCAAACGCCTGAGTCATTTGCTTCGCACATTTTCTGGAACTTGTTTTGCCAGTCCTCTTGTACCACAAATACCTTCGGGGTGAAGAGGAGGAGCCATAAACGAGGAAGGACGATGAGATTCAAGAGCTTTTGATGATGAAATGTAAATGATTACAGTCTGCGTGTATCTGCTGCAGTTTACCAGACGGCTGTGACTCAGGACGGTCAGCTGAATTTCGTAGCGAATGGAGAAAATTGCATCCATGAAAGCGATAAACACTGAAAAAATGATTCCGCAAACTGATCTGAGCTCTTTGGTTTGTGTTAATTATCTCTGGCTGTGAGAAATGAAGCCGCGGAAGTGGAATGAACAGTGTGTGGATCCTGTCCTTGTTGGGGAGCTAACAGTAGATAAGCAGCTGTCTGCAGATATCAGCCTGATGTCTTGTCAACACAAACAGAGCAGATAAATTAGCGAGCAGACTTTCTGTTTCTGTCCTGTCTGGGTTCAAAGCGATCATTAACGCGAATGTCTGAACTTTGTTGAGGCATCCACTTCTGACACCCTCGTGCTCGGCTGTATGAGAAAGCATTTATTTTTTTAAATGCGGATAACGATGATGCCTTTGTAAGTGGTGCAGCTTCTTCTTATTCTGTTAGACTGTTTTTGAACATGTAAGATGTCTCAAGGAAAATAAAACCTTGGCTCACAGCTGTTAATGTGCATGTTGCACTATTTTATATTCCAGGAAATGACCGAGTTGCTCACTTGGTAATTGTAGCAGAGATTTAAGTTCTCAGGATAAATTCTGAGAACGCTTTGAGCGACAGTGGATTTGTCTGATGTCACCGAATCATTAAGAATCGAATCAAATCAAACTGAATTAAATCTAAATTGATCAATTCTGGACTAAAATGAAATTTAATCAAATCTGCTGCAAAATCAAAACTTAAGTCCAGTCCAGCTTTCAGTCTGAACATATGTTTTTTTCCAGACTCATACAAGGTCACTGTGACGTTTGACCACTGTAATCGAATCAGTTCATCTCTGAGTCAAAGTGACAACTGGTCAAATCTTGAATCAGTTCCCTTAAGTCAGACTTGAGATGTCGTGTTCCTATAGACCTTTGACCTATGACCACCCAACTTCCACCAGGTCATCTGTGAGTCCAACTTAACATTTGTGCCAAGTTTGAAAGAATCCTCTCAAGGCGTCCTTAAGATAACACAAGGTCACAGCGACCTTTACCTGTGACTCATCCCTGAGTCCGAGTGAATGTTTTCCCTCGAGTGTCTGAGATGTTGCGTCCACACGACCGAAAACATGTTTTATGAGGTGACAGTGACTTTCGACCTTGATCTGTTCATCCGTGAGTCCAAATGAACATTTGTACAAATACTGGAGAGGATTCTTCTGAGGTGTCCGTGAGATGTTGAGCTCACAAGGCAAACATGTGCTTTGAGAGGTCACAGCAAACCTGACCATTAACTTAACTTTTTTAAAGAGTAGAACATTTGCACAAGATGTCCTGACCTGTCCTAATTTCTCTTTCTTGCAAACAAATCCCTCTCCTTTCTCTTTTCATTGTTGGCCTTCTCTGACTCCCTCTATTCCCTTCTCAGCCTATTTCACTCTTTCTTCGTGTACTGACCTGGTCCAGGGCTGATCTGGTTGTCATAGAGGTGGATGTCATCTCCGCAGGCGATTGGCGAGTCCTGTCCCTCCTCTCGGCCCTCGCTGCCCTCCTCCTGCTCCGCCTCCCGCTGCTCTGGGGACACAACAGCACAGGGTCACTCCTGAACCTCGCTGGCTTTAAAATCATTATCCTCAGTTAAAGTAGCTGATTTAAATACCAAAGTCAAAATACCAGGTGGAAATTTGAGGTCCACGAATATAATTGCTCCATTGGAACACATGAAATTCATATTATTAATATGTACAAACTTCATGAGCAGAAACTACAATTACAGGACCCCCAAAACTAAAATACAGTCCGAATAGTGCTCAACAAAATGTTCAGACAGTGACGAGATTTTATTACAAGACATTTTGCTTTTCCACAACAGCTTAGTCGACAGTCAGTGAACCATCCTGACACACTAATCTGGTGCTTAAAGCAAAAACAAAACAAGAAAACCTGGAGAATTGTTAGAAAATATTGAGTTTAGTGTCACCTGTTAAACAGAAGCTTATTGTCAGCTCAAGCTGCTCATTTTCACGTCACGTCACAAAAACCTTTGTTAACGATGAAACCGTGCAGCCTGCCAAAGATCTTTAAAAGTCTTTCACAGGCTGAATTATGTTTTTGTGTTTAAAGGCAACACTTATTGTCGTTATTGTTTATTATCCTTAAACAGCAGAAATGAATATCTTGTTTGTCCGACCGAATGTACAAAATCATTCTTTTTAAATGGCCTGCATGATTAATTGATTATTAAAATACTTGCCATTTGTGAAATTCTGCAGAATCAGATCCAGGTTTGTTTCCTGAGATGTAAATGTGTTGGTGATATGGATTTAGTTATTTTGTTGATGATAGAATAGACAGGATGGATAATAGGATAGAATGAAAGGTCTGTAACATAGGTCTGTTAGTGAGTGTTGGTCCTTTCCTTGTTTTTATTGTGAGTTATTTTTTGGGACTTTAACAACCATGTATTTTACTGTGGCATTGTTAATTGATGGATGCGTGTTGTTCAATTTTATGCATAATTAAAAAAAGTCCATATCATTGAAAGCAACACTAAGAGATGTCCTGCAATACATATTCTCCCTGACTCATCCTACGGAGACTTCATTAATAATGTTTAAATATGTATAATCCTGAAAAAAAAAAACTGCATAATGGTTTCATATGACGTTTTTCATGAATCGGAGCTAGACGTAGGTTTTATCAGGTGTTTTTCTTTGGTGCGTAACCGTCACGATTGTGTTTGGAAGAAAGCATCACAGGACTCAGCCTGGAGCCTGTTTGTATGACTCATCCCAGTCTCTCCTCCTGACACAGCAGCACCTTAAATCCAATCCTGCAGTCACTAGTGGGCTCCCAAATATCATCCAGCGATCGGCTTGATGCGACCAGGACAATATCTCATACTCGTGCTCTTTATCTGCTGACCTTATCCACGAGGAGGCCCCAATTTCAGTTCATTCAGTTTGTCTTGCGTCAGGATCATCCCTCAGCACTTGACATTATTTGAACCTTTCTGTGTCGTCACTTTGCCTCCGTCCCTCTGCGCCTGCGACTCACCGGCTGGGCTCTGACTTTCAAATCACCTTGGGAGAGAGCGAGCAGCGGCTGCCGAGCCGGAGAAACAAATCAACCGTTTTTTCTCCAACGCACCCACAATGGTATCAATTTCGAAAAAAGTTTTTAGATTTTTATTACTTATTTTTGGGCTGCAGTTGTTTTATTGTAACAACTACCTCGTATGGATTTTAAATCAAACTGCAAATATCCAGTTTACCATTAAGAATTATGATGTTTTATTATTGTATTTTTTCCAGCAGCATCATTATTCAGACGAGTTGCGCATGAAGCCGAGCTGCTGCTCTGTAACACTGACGGGTCAAAAACAAGAAGGCAACATGTAGAAGGGACAAGGGCCGAGGGATGAGGTTGTTTGATATGAAAGCACTGAATGATGGATGTGCCTCCTTTAAATGGTGCACGTGTTCTGCAGCAGCCTCTGAGATGTGACGTACAGAAACACTACAGGTGCACGGTTTCATCATGAAGGATGTTTCCGGTTCTTTGTGCTCTGACAATTAATCTAAGTTCCACATTCACCTTCGTTTACTGATTTAAATTCATCGCGGGCTGCAACAAGCCAACGACTTAATAGATTGAATAATGGTTTAATATTCAGACAATGTTGTGGAGTAATAGAATACATGGAATGGAGCTTTTTGCTAAATTGAGACCCTTAGGCTTCACTTTTGGAAGCCGTCATGTCGTCCATCTTCATATGCTCTACATTAGCATAGTAGCTAGCTTGCTGAGCTGGTCAAGTAGAGATAAACAGTTTACAGAATGTATCACGGTTGTTTTATGTTTAACTGTTCATCAGAGGGACTCCTGGGTTCAGTGTTTGGGAAGCAGCACTATGATTTCCAGCTTCTCACTCGTGAGGATTTCCTGCTCCTCTGTGCATTTGTCTGTTGTCGGAAACAGCAAGCGGTCGCACGACATCAACGGCGGCTTAAGGGAAATTATACAGCAGCACAAAAGAAAAAAAATACAAGCAGAAACCTGTTTGCAATATTTGTTTTCAGCATGAATTTCAGAGGAGATTCAAAGCTGTGAGTCTTCAGTGCACTTTCATGAGTAATCAAACCTTCTCTGGTAGCACACAGGGGTCGTCTTGTACTGTGTGTGGACCTTTTCAGGTTTGAAATAGATGACAGCTAAATTACAGGTTTTCCCACAGTATTTTAATTTAATAAATAAAATAAAAAACACATTCATAAAGCGAGACATTACGTTTAAAGGAAAACAGCTGAGTTACCTCTTCATGTTTAATGAGTGTGTCCAGCATTTAGACTTCTTTTTTACTTTAAAAACAAATCACAGGACGAGCTGCGTCAGGATCTGCGAACTCTGCAAAACATTTCTCACCCTGAATCGCTCCATTAAAATCAACAAATTTAACCATAAAACAAGCTTTAAAGTCGACTCCGAACGTGATGAGAAAGCTTCAAAGTCAAAGAGAACCCTGCAACCCCCATGATGCATCCCTGCTCCATCAAACAGGAAGACGCTGTGCAACATTACACAAAAACTACTGGAGGCATTACTATAAAACTTAGTGGAAGGATTTGATATTGGTCAGGAACTACTTCCATTTTTGATGCATATCCAGATTTTCTTTCTCACTTTCTTTAGCTTTGTGAACGCAGAGTCCCCCCCCCCCCCCCCCCCCCCAGGCACTTTTCTGTTTGCCTCTTTCATTCTGTGGCTCAGTCGGTTATTGTGAATGTTATTATTTCTGTATCTTACACTTACTCTATGAGCCATGTGTCTTTTTGCACTGATTTGTGTTCTTCCCATCATCTGCTGCACAACTTGTAAACTAAATGATCTGTAAAACCATTCTGGACCACGAGACCATGAAAATAGTTATAAATCTGACATTTTCTTATTACAACGTGTATTTTCATTTATTATTACAGGTACAGTATCACAGTTGGGGGAGCTTTTCACTTCTTGTGTCTGTCTTAATGGAAGGATGTGGTATGGATCAGGGAAGAACCCATTAAATGTTGGTGTGGATCCTGATCATCGGGCAGATCCATGAAATTTTGTGCAGCTTGGTGGAGGTATGTGCTCTACTGTTCCACTTTGTTCTCTATTCACGATTTAATCCTGACAGCTGAAATCACATCCATGACTCTGACACATCAACTATGGTCACAAGAACACTATGATGACACAGGTACAACCGGAACACTTCCAACAGTTCAAGAACAACAACAATTATATTCACGTCCGGCATCCATTAAGATTCATTAACGAACCTCTAAGATGACAATGGTGGATAATGCTTACTTGCCTCCAGTAATGCAGCTGCATTTATATCGTGATAGAGGGCTGCCTAATAAAGACGGTTATGTTCAGGTGCAGCAGGGGGGCTTCTGTGAATCTGCGAGTGAATTGGTGTGTTACAGGAGGGGAATAATTGGCTGGGGAGTCAGGGAGATCCAATGCAAGCATATTCTGTCCTGACTGCTTGTGCTGCACATACTAATTGGATGCCTCTCCTTGGCTTGAAGGTAATGAAGCCGCTGTTATCATAACAGCCTGAGCAAAGTTCATTATTTATATCCAAATGCAGCCTTTTCTGTTTTCTATGCTGCAGCCGCAATCTTTAAGTCACATCTCTCACTATATACTAATATACTGTAACGCACATTACTGGCAGCAGTCGAGACAAAAAAACAGATCCTCGTTTCCCGTCAGGGCGAGTGGATCACAGTGTTTTAGTCACGCTGCGTCCGCAAATAATAGACTCACTTATTATTACTTGCTATGTTTTTACGTTGAGGGAAAACTGGCTCATGGTGAAAAGTGCATTTATCCTGCTGGTGACTCAGACTCACCCATTTCTTGAAAGAAGTATCCATTCTTGGACATCCCAGAGGGAGGCGCCTCTGCAGGAGAGAGCAAAACAGAGAGAGTCATCAGTGAGGTGGATATGGACATCAGTCACCTCCCCTGCAGGGAGCCATTTCCATTTTGAAACTCAATACCCATTATTTGTTATAATTACTTCATTTTTTTTATCATAAGTGTTTAATTATTGGTATGAGAGATGCTTATGAATAGAAATGAGAGTTTAAATGGATTTAAATGTAGACATTGTAGATACAGAATTAATAGTTAATCCATTCAGTCACTCACGAAAGTATCTGCCCCCTAAAGGCCATGAAGAGACATGACAATGATGAGTCAGGTCATGACACAATGAAACACTGCAGAACCGCGCCGAGCGTTTTAATGTGTGTGTGATTTTCTCTTTAACTTCTTGTCAATAAATTCTATGAAAAGACCAAATCCAACTGTGAATTGATCTCATTATTCTCAGAGTATCTGAAGCTTGAGATTATTAGATTATTCCTCTGAGCCACAGAAACTATTACAAACACATCAGTGACTCACACAGTTGCGCTGGGAGACATGTTCGTTTATTACAATGAACACACACTGCGTAGTTTATTTTGTGTCAAGTCCACAGATGACGTCTTTCTGCCGTAGACACTAGCCCAGCAAGGGTATCAACCCACAAAGATGCAGAACTTACCCCTAAATGAACATTTCCTAAAAAAAATGCAGCTGACTTAAGAAATAAAAGTTTACGTTTTTCAAAGTTCACGTCTTAAGTGGGGGTGAGAGTTTAAGAAAACCTTGATTGACTTTTCATGGTAGTTTGTTTGTATTGTAGCAGGATTACACAAAAAAATTCTTGGAACGTTGTGGAAGGGTGGGACACGGGCCAGCGAAGAACCCATTAAATTTCCCTGGCACTGGGTGAGAGGCGGGTTGCACCCTGGACAACATAACGCAAGGTACACAACCGTTCTCGTTCAAATTCACACATTTCTTGCCATTTTTGTGAATGTTCTGTTGTATCCGAGTACAACAGATATTATTGTTGATGTAAATTATTCACAGCGATCCTCTTTAAAATTCCACTGATGCTCAGATAGTTTTATTTTTTGGGGGGGGGGGGCTGTGTTATTAACACCGGCTGTATATAACGATGGTGAAAGACCGACGTACATTTACATTTTAAATCCCTCTGAAAATCCAAAGCTGTTATACTGCAGGAATAAATGCAGGTCGCAGTTTTGGCGCCTGATGGGATGAGAATCATGAGAGAACGATGTGATGCAGAGGAAATATAAATATTACTAGAGGCAGTGGAAATATTCATGATCATTTTTTTTAAGCGTAAATGATAATTATTTTCTAATCGTCTACAAAATGTTGGAAAATACAGAAAATGAAAATTTGACCACAGCTCAAGGTGATATCTTTAAATTGCTAATGAATGGTTAACAGTGCCATTGTTATAAAAAAAACAATTGGAAGTGCTTCAGCTCAGCTTCAGTCGGCTGAGTTTTGTGGAAGAATGCAAACATTGACAACAGGACATTTTGGCTAAACTGAGATACCAGTCTGCTGCAGAGAGAGAGTCAAACAAAACTCCCCAAGGTTTTCATTTTCCTGTGGATTCCTCAAATATCAAAAATAAAAAACACAAACATGTGGGTATTTTTCCAACATTAATTTAGACTGCGTTTCTTTAGCCTAAACAAAGCGTCGTCTAAACAATGAAACTGCTCGTAGAAGTAAAAAAAAAAAAAAACCAAGGTGATGTCTTTGGATTTCTCTGTCTGACCAAAAGTCTAAAACCTACATGATCAATCTTTTCAGCACTAAATGAATGTGGCTGATGTTCAGATTTGCCTGAGTCATTCTCAATCTGCAAATCATGAGATTATTTCTGGGAGTCGCCAGATGGTTGTGGAGAATTATATAATACATTCAGAATAAATGATAGATTATGGATCGGGAATTATTTTTAAATTAAATTGTCTGTACAAGGGATAAAATCTGCTTTAGGACCGACGTCAATAAATGTGTTTGTGAAAGTCACAGTCTGTGCGCACGGGTTCGTGCTCGAACAAAACAAAGAACAGTTTTATTTTGTGAAGTCACTCGCCAACGAGGCTCAAGGTTCCCAAACCCTTTGTTTCATGACAGCGTGAACGGCACAAGAATGTTATCTTCTCCAATTCCAATTTGGGCTAAAGGTCAGATGAACGCGACCTTGACATCACTCTGGAGCAAACGTTCGTCACAATACCGATCTGGTGCGAGTCTCTCAGTCACTACAAACACTGAAGACAGCAGCGATGCAGATTGTCAGCGGAGACACACTGAGGTGTTGGAAGTATTTGGGGTGACACTTCTGTTCAAGCGTAAAATTGAGGGATCCTGTCATGTGTTTGAAAACATCTCGCAGGAAATGGCCGAACAGGGCCAGAGAAGAGCGTGGCTGCAATATCAGAGGACAACGAAGAGTCTGAAAGCTAAGTCGAAGGAAGCTAAGACCAACAGGCTGTTCAGAACAGTCTGATTCTGATGGTGGGTCACGTCTTCAAAAGGTTTAAAACCACTGCTGTGTTCATGTTTATTGTTCTACTTGTTGCTGTGATTGAACTGAACATTTAAATAACGTGACACGGTGACGCCCTCCAGAGCAAATAACCTCAAAGACACGGAGGGGCCTCATTCTTTTTTTCCCCGCGTTTATACTCCTACAGAGATTTGTTAACCGAAACCGAAGAGCTGTAACAGTGAGCAGACTATTTAAACGTGTAATACAGGTTTGGGAAGTGAAACTTTTTCTCCTAATTGGGCCAAAGCTGTCAAACATAGTGAAAAACCAAACCGGGCGATCCTGTAGTTTAACCAGAGGGCGAGAAGAGGAATTCCCTTTAGAGCGGTGAGAAGTGTTATCAGAAAAATAACATGCTCATTAGGTGGAAGAAATGCTAACAGGCAATGATTATGAGCAATACAGGCTGTTTTCATCAGGAAAGGTCTCTACTGTGCTAATACATTCAGCAATAATCCATAGTGAGTTTTGCTTCCAGGCAGGCGATCGCTCTGCAACGCTGCGGTATACGGCATTTGTTTAAAATGGTGGATATCTCATTTTGGATTTAAACTTAATCTGGTGAGGAGTTCTACTCCAAAAAGCACAGACAGAGACTTTCGAGTACAACGTTTCTGAGTGTTTGTCACGCGGCCCCATGGATGTGCGCGGCGTTCGGATGACACACAAAGACGAGGCAGATATGGAGCGGGGATACTTTGAAGGTTACTGAGACATTGTGGGCTCACGCTGAAAGAACGGAAGGATGAGGGAGGATAAGGGGGTGGGGGGGGGGCTGTCACACTACCAGGCTTCAGTGAGGCTTTTCTTCAGCATTAAGCCAATATGTTTGCATATTCATCCAAATAACCAAAGATCCACAACATGTCTTGCGGGTATTTCCCTGATTTAACTCGTCCAGAGACGGGGGACACAAAACAAGGAACAAGATTCACCCATTTGCACAAACACAAACTGAGGAGAGATGTCGGCATGAAGAAATCTCTCCTCTTAAGATGAGCCAAGAATAATACGCAATACGTAAAGTAAAAAAAAAAAGGTATTGTTTACTACAAGGTATTCCTTCACTCTCACGATGCCTGATTGGAATGGGCTGTTCGCCTGGCCTGTGGTAATACTGGTTGCTACTGTAAAAGTGACCCGCGGTAATCGCTCTACTAGAATCATTTGTCGTGAATGCGTCTGTTCTTGATCGACAACATCCCTAACGTTGAAGAAGTCCAGTCGCGGTTACGACAGAGCGCTGGGTCTGAGTCCCGTCTGCAAACAACAACCACATCTTCCCTGGACAACAGAGAAACCTGAGGGAATAGTTTAAAGTGCGTATTTCTTTTGTTGAGGAGAAGATTGTTGAGATTATTATGTCTGTACAGTAAAAAGCCTGTGAAGATACAACCTTGAGCCGTTAGCTTACCGTAGCACAAAGATGAGCTTGGGGGCGGGTTGTGTTCAACCCCTCTAAAAAACACATTAATGAACACTTTCTATCGTATTTATTGAATCTGTGCATAAACCAGGCTGTAAAAGCAGGGGATGGTTTAATGGGGTCAGGGATCTGAATATCTCTTGGCATTGATTTTCTGAGTCATTCTTTCACCACTATCACCAGCCAAGAAATAGTGAGTTATCTAACCTCGCTCAGAACAACTTCTTCTTAGATTTACACTCTGGATTTGTAAGAATAAAATGAGATTCAAACTGTTAAAGTTTGAACTCATGTTATTTTCCCTCAGTGCTAAGCTAGGCTAACTGTCCTCTGGCTCAACCTTCACACTGATTCATTAAAAGTGGTTTTGACCTTGAGCAAATACGCACACGAAAGTGATTAACCATTACTTTGAATTAAAAAAGATGTATCTTAATGGTGCTGTGTTAAGATTTATGGTTGCTGCTGTGTAATTTGTTATATGATGGAGTTTTCCACATCACAGTATCGTTCTAAGAAGAAAAAACACCTTTGACGTCTTTTTAAAAATCTAATTAAGATGAAATTGAATGAATTGAATTATTAGAGGGATGGAGTGACCTTCAAGATCGTCAGTCTGACGACTAACAGAGAAAAGAGCTGAGAGAAAAGTGTTGAGCCTCTCACAAGTAAATGCATATTCTTAGTTTCATTGAAATGTCTGGTTTACACTGCTGCAATTTGTTGAATCAAAAAAAAAAATTGCAACCATGGTAAGAAATGTCGAGTTTAGGAATTACAACGTTAGAAAAGTATAAATTTCTGGAGGTAGTTTTCTCTCCATCCACATTCCTCAAATCAATTCCCTCATCTGAGCTGCCATGTTAATGACTGGGACACACAGGTCGATCATGTCGCTGTTATACAGTCCGCTCACCCGCAGCTACTGCACTAAACATACAGTATCTTCCACAAAACAGAAATCTCTGTTTTAATAAAGACAAAAATATCATAATGGCACATTTAAGCTAATATACAAAGGTGATGCAAAATGTACATTT